TTAATAATACCATACCAAATATTATATCCCCAGACCTTAATCATCTTCTAACTCAAATTTTGTTCCCTTTGACCAACATTTCAACATTTTCCCTCCTCCCAGTCCAGGCAACCACCATTTTACTCTGTTTCTATGAGTTTAACTTTTTTAGAGCCCATATATAACTGAAATTTTACAGTATTTGTCTTTCTCTGTATTACTTATCTTACTTAGCTTAATGCCCTCAAGGTCCATCACCTATATTGTCATCAATGGCAATATTTCATGCTTTTTTATGGTTGAATAATATGCCAGTGTGTGTGTGTGTATGTATTTTATTTATCTATTTATCCATGATGAACATTTAAGTTGTTTCCGTGTCTTGTCTATTGTAAATAATGCTCCAATGCACATGGAAGTGCAGATCTCTTCAAGATAGTGACTTCATTTCCTTTCTTATATATTCAGATGTGGGATTGCTGACTTGTTGAGAAATTTCATTCTGAAAGATACTGAATTTTTTCAAATATTTTTTTCTGCATTTACTGAGAGGGTTATATGATCTTTATACTTTATTTGATTAAAGTGGTATATCATGTTTGATTTGCTTTTGTTGAACCATCCTTGCATCCTGGAGCTAAATCCCACCTGATCATGGTATATGATCTTTTTAATGTGCTGTTGAATTGGGCTTGCTAAAATTTTGTTGACAATTTTTGCATCTGTGTTCACAAGAGATACTGACCTGTAGTTTTCTTGTGGTGTCCTTATCTGGTTTTGGTATCAGGGTAATGCCAGCCTTGTAAAATTAACTTTGGGAGTGTTCCATCCTCTTCAAATATTTGGAAGAGTTTGAGGATTGGTATTAATCCTTCTTTTAAATGTTTGGTAGAACTTACTAGTGAAGCCAACTGGTCCTGGACTTTTGTTTGTTGGGATGTTTTTAGTTACTGATTCAATCTCACTAGTAATCTGTCTGCTCTGATTTTCTGTTTCTTCATGATTCAGTCTCAGTAGGTTGTATGTTTCTAGAAATTTAAATGTTTCTAGAAATTCTGCACTGGGAAATTTTACAATTTAAGAATCACTATTCAGAGACCTGCACACTTTAGGTCACTGTGTGCCTCAACTCACACCCACAGAGCCTCCCTGGATTTTATATCCACCAATAACCTCTGTTCATCTCCTAAACCTCATCTAATCACTTATGTAGCTTTTCACCCATCCATGCACTCATTCTTTTACTCAATCATCACAAACTTCAGGTACTGCGTGACTCCTAGCCTATTAGACCTTATATTTTTGTGTGGAAGAAAGATAATAATTTTGTAATTCCAGACCAACAAGTGGAAAAACAGTGTTTTATCTCAATTCTATTTGGTAGTTCTAGTTTTGGAAGTAATTGCATTTTAAACATAAATGCAATCAGTAAAAGCTCACTGTTAATT